ATTTCTTTATTTTCCTTCCTTTCCTTTCTCAGGTATAAGAACATTCCACAGATGTCCTTTGATGACACGGACAGGGAGCCAGATCAGACCTTTAGTTTGAACCGGGATCCTACAGGAGAGTTAGAATATGCTACAAAGTAAGCACTGGGTCTATCTTCCATTCTCTGTGGCTTCTTTACTTTTTGAATTTTAAGATTTATTTATTTTTAAAATTGAACTTACAAGAGTGACATTGGTTAATAAAATTATATAGGTTTCAGGTGTTCTGTGGCTTCTGAGGACCAACAGGCACTTCCTCATCTACAATGAGCATATGTGCATTAGTGCTTGCTGGGCTTGCAATTTATTCTTGGCCCATCTCCTGCCCACTTAGCATCAGAAACAGGTTAAAACAGTGGAGGAAATGTGATCCTTGGCTTGGCCAATTTTTGGCAGAGATTCGATGCAAGCCACAGATTTGTTAACTTGTAAGCAATTGGCAGATCTGAATGCATTCCTAGGATGGCCTTAGGAAAGATGTTTTCAGAATTCCTCTGTGCATGGTTGGCTTATAAGGTCAAGTTACATGTGACCACCTTATTTCTCATTTCCCAAGGTGAGGTCAACGCTGCTCGAGTTATAATCTCTGCTTGGTCATACAGCATTTCTTTTTATTTTTTTATTTTATTTTTTTAAAATATATTTTATTTTTTACAGAGAGGAAGGGAGAGAGATAGAGAGTTAGAAACATCGATGAGAGAGAAACATCGATCAGCTGCCTCCTGCACACCCCCCACTGGGGATGTGCCTGCCACCCAGGTACATGCCCTTGACCGGAATCGAACCTGGGACCCTTCAGTCTGCAGGCCGACGCTCTATCCACTGAGCCAAACCGGTTTCGGCCATACAGCATTTCTTAATCCTGCCCTTTGAGGATAGGGGCAGTGTTGATTCACTTTTCTACCCCTATTGCCTTGGACAGGATCTGGCAAACGCTAGGTAAATGTTCACGGAATTAATTGCTTTTCCAAAGGATAAGAATGAGACACAAGACCCCAATAATGTTCTGTGACATTTGCCTAGGTTTTACCACAAGTCGGAGCTGGAATTGTTGTTTTAAAATTGTAGTGAGATGCTAATTGAACTCTAACCTGTCTTCTCTCCCCACTCCTTCATCTTCTAGAATATCTCGTTTTTCAAGTGTCTATCATCTCTCAATTCATATTTCAAAAAACTTTGGAGCAGATACCACAAAGGTCTTGTATATTGGCCTGAGAGGAGAATGGACTGAGGTAAGATGGGATTGGAAACGTTGCCCTCTCCAGTATATGTATGTATATATATCTTCATGATGTGGTAGTGAGAGCTTTAAAAAAAGGAAAAAGAGCAAATTGAGACATTGATTGCTCTCGGTCTGTTTATAATTTTTCTTGGTTCATCGCTTTGAACTGCCCTTGTCATTTGAGAGGCTATATAGATAGGTATTTTTAAGAGGGTTGAAATAATACAGTTGATATCAATTCAGTTTTTCAGTTTAAAATTGTTTCCTTCAATGTTTTTTTTGTTCAACATTTTTAGTATATTATGTGCTGCTGAAGCAAGCACTCATTCAACATTTCTGAGCGTCTTTCTTGTTCCAGGCATCAGAGATAAGATGATAAACAAGATAGAGAAGGTCCTTTTCTCATGGTGCCTCCAATATAGTGGGGGAATGATGCTTCTTAGTTATGGGGTGAATTATTGATAATGATCTTTGCAATCTTCTCAAGATAAAAAGTATCAGAACGGGGAAGAGATTAGATGATGACTTCTAGAAATGGACCTGAATAAGGACTACTGCAGTGTGTCATCTGGAAAGTAGCCAGCTGACCTAGCATCTTAATTTTCTTGCAGTTTCGCCGACATGAGGTAACCATCTGCAATTATGAAGCATCGGCCAACCCAGCAGACCACAAGGTCCATCAGGTTACCCCACAGACACACTTCATTTCCTAGGGGCTGGTCAAGGCTCCCATGGAGGCCCTGTGTCAGTGAAGATGTGTGACAGCCTATTGAGAAGGACAAAGATGGGGCTCCAGAGAGAGTTGACTGCCACAGCCTCTGCCAAACTTTGTCCTTGGGGCTTACTGCAGAAACCTGGCCTGTGGAAGACACCACACCACCGGGAGGGTTGTGTGGGTGTCGGGGGACAATCATGGTTCTCTAGGGCCCCGTAGAAATGGGGTCTTGGTTTGGTCAGTATCTGGCAGTCATGGATAATGCCTGCCTTTCCAGTCAGTGTGGCCATGGGATTTCAAGTGTCTTACTTTGTGGCAGGATTTTTTGTGTGACTTTTTTTTTTTAATGGCAACTGTTCCTGGGTTGCAGTAAACTTTCTGAAGCCTCAGCATTGTGTTTGTATTAGCCATCAGGAAGGTCTCCAACTAGAAATACCTGTCCCTGCTTGCTCCTTCTCCCTGTCATCATTTAGCATTCTTGTCAAGTTGCTCAGCTTGGAGTTGTCTGTCATGCACTAGTGTGCCATGGTTATAGCTGGAAGAGCAGGCCTCTCCTGAGGATGCTTAATTAATAGCTTGAGGAGAAGGTCTTCTTTCCTACTGCCTAGGTAAGCAGTCTGGGGAGAGCATGGGCATCGCATTTCTATGTTTGTGGGTATCTGGTCCAGGTAAGATTGGGCCTTAGGTAAGATTCCCCTTGGGACATCCTCATTGTTTATTAGCTTCTAGCTAGTGTTGTAAGGCAAGTGCCAGAATTTGGAGATCTCAGTTCTTGTCATGGCTTTTTATTCACTGTGACTAATAAGCTTCCTAATAAATCCTTGCCAAACTTGTTTGTGTATTCTTCTGAGTTCTTGGTAGTACTGATGAAACTTTTACTTTATTGGGAACTGTATATAACTTTGAAGTTTGTTGTTTTGGACCAGGTAGATATAAATGCTAGTTATATCAAGACTAGATCAGTTTTTCCAGGAAAGGTCGAGCTTAATTTTGTACAGTAAACTAAAAACACTCCTGTACCCACCGACCCACTCAACATTTTGTAAAGAGGGAGGTGAGGTTAAAAACCTATATTCCATTTCTCGTGGAAGAAAGAAAATAGCATAAATGAGTGAGAGCAGCTTCTGGAGTTCAGAATGAGGGCAAGGAAAGTGAGCGAGCAGCACCTGCAGTCCAAGGTGGACCCAAGACTTCGGACTTAAATTTTGACTCAGGAGAGACTTGCAATTGGAGAGAATTGAAGTTACCTACAAAGAGGATTTCAAATGGTCAGTATTCTCTCCCTTGCAGAAAACAGAAACAATTGACCATGGGAATTAGTATTGAATCTGATCCTCCTGAGAGAATTCCTCTATGGCAGGGTTAGAGAACCTTTTTTCTGCCAAGGGCTATTTGGATATTGAAAACATCATTGTGGGCCAAAGTTATCAACTTAAAAATTATTCTGCTATATTGGGTCAAACAACTCACCCCTAATACCTTGGAAGGGCCAGAAAAAATGATTTCTCAGGCCTTATATGGCCCACAGGCCAGACATTCCCCACCCCTGCTCTAGGACTTTGGCCCACATGATTAGGAAGATATACCCACTGTTTACCCAGGCTATCCTATGTAAAGCCTGCCACCACTAAGCTTTGTCGAGTCTCATTTCTAAAATACTGCCTGAAACCAACCAGAAGCAAATGCAATTATTGATGCACTCAGGGTCCTACTCCTCAGTTGTATCATTTTGGAGATGAAGGACCGTTTTAATTTGGAGTTGGGAGAAACATGCGAAGTCTTAGAATAGCCCTTCATTAATTCCACTCATTAAAGCACTAGTCACAGGTAGCCTCTGGGACTTGGCCTCTGAATTTGAGACTTCACTCTGAAGAATTTGCTCAAAGTGCCACAGTGTCTGATTGGGAGTGCGGAAGGAATTGCTCATTCTTTCATAACATCCAGGAGGGGTTCTGTTGAGGGTGGGAGTAGCTGTGTAGTCTTCGTCCACTCATCCCCTTTCTGGTCCTGGGTCCTTGGCTTGCTGTGGTCCTCTGGACCTGAAGCTTCCCTGCTCGGGGAATCCTGGTATTTTAGGTTGTCTCTGCGACCTGTTGAGCACTTAAGACCAAACTGCCTCTTACCCTGGGAGAAAATGCTTGGTTGAGCTTCCATGTTGACTTTCGTTTTTTTCAGTTCAAAGAAAAAAGTGTAGGTTTTGCTGAAGGAATGAGTCCTAAGCTCCTGAAGGATGAGCACCACTCATTTCTTGTTACAGGTGGCCACATGTTCTCTCAGGGACACGGTCCTTCAACTCAGTCCGCGTCCCCTTCCGGCTTTCCTGTGGACCCTGATCCCCATTTCCACTTTACCAGCACGGCAAGGAGCAAAGGGTGACTCGCTGGTACCCACATGAAGCCCTTTCTGTTCTTAATAACGAGCTCGGTGATGGTGGTATTTTGTGCACTCTGCCGGGCATTGCTTGCCCCGGGCAGAGCTAAGGTAACACTGCCGAGGCCAGCCCAGCTGTCCTGCTGTGACCTGTGTTATTTTCCCAGGGTCGTTTGTAGAGTCATTAAGGCCTCCCACTGACTATAATGTATTAAGCATTTCTCATTTGAGCCTACCAGCGAAGCTGTGAAGTAGCAGGGTGGTTATTATCACCATTTTATAGCCCAGAAAGCAAGTGCAGAGTGTCATCCTGAGATTGCTGTTTACTTCCCCTCCCTGGGCCTCAGTTTCCTCATTTTAAAAACAAGACTGGAGGACTAGAAGGCCTCTGAGGGTCTTTACGGATGCCGCCCATGATCCTGGGCTGGGGCATGAAAGCTTGTGGTGGATACGCAAGACCCTCCTGACGGTGGGCCGGGCGCGGGGCGGGGAAACTTCCTGCTCCGGCGCGAACCCCTCCCCTCCTCCGGGGGCGCCCGGGTGCCTCGTGCCTCGATGCACGGTCTGCATTCTTCGGGGGACGGCGGGCTGAGTGACGGGGCGTGGCCCCAGGGACCCAGCAGGGCCGCCCCTCTCTGGTGAGGGCCCGCCGCCCACTTCCGGGTTCCGTACCCCTGGCCAGGCTACTTCCGGTACCGCGATGGCCGGGTTCCCGGGACGCCAACGGAAGTTCCGGCGGGGGCGGTAGAGGGGGAAGAGTGTGTCTGTGCCGGAGAAAGAGGAGAACCGCCCGAGAGGTCTCCGAACCCCCAGGGAGTGAAGGTACCCAGGCCCGGACCGCGGGCGCAGGAAGGGCGCTGTGGGGGGAGTCGGACCACGCGGGGTCCCGGCGAGTGGGGAGGAGGCGCCGCGGTGGGAGATGGGGGTGGGGAGTGAGGTGCGGAGGGGCGCCGGCCAGGCGTGGGGACTTGGGGGATAAAGAGGGGTAAGAAGTGGGATCCGCGCGTGGTGAGAAGGACGTAAGGTCGGAAATGGAAGATCCCATTGTGAGGCGGGGCGCCCCACGGTCACCCTTTGTGGGCAGGAACGGGTCCGGGGTCAGGGTGGAAAATGCCCCTGTGGGGAGGGGGCGCCCCTCAACCAGAACGGAAGTTCTCATTGTGGGGAGTGGGAACCCTGCGTGGGGTGGAGGTTTTTAGGGGCGGGAGGGAGACCCCAGACCGGGGGTGGGGCACCATTCTGAGACAGGAGGACTCTGGGGTGAGAGGTGGAAGGGACCCCCGGCTTAGGGTGAACGAGGTGAGGGCCCCACTGTGCAGAGGGCACTGAGGAGGGAGGGGGGCACCGCGGGGAAGGGCAGGCACTTGGGGGCCGGTAGCGGAAGCTTCTGGGGAGTTGGGAGGATGCTAGGGGTGATGAGGAGCCAGCCTGACATCCTTTTGTGTGTCCGGGAGTCTCAGAGCGTGGTCAGGCTGGGGGCCCTTTTGGAGGCGGTGGGCAGCAGCGGCAGGTGGCCCCATGCCGGCGTGTGGGGCACCAGTGAGAGATGGGCGGTGGGCTGGAGGCTGAGTGCCTTGGGGGACATGGGCAGCCCCCAGGGGCTCTGGAGATGCTGTGAAGGCTGGGTGGGGGCGGGATGGGAGGGAGGTTGGAGAAAATATGGGGGGTCCCGGGGAGTAGGGGCTGGGAGCTTATTTCCCTGGCATTTCCTCCCTTCATTTCCCAGCAGGGCTAGGAGTTGGGGAGGAAGGGCCTCGGGCTCTAGAGGGGATGATTGGAGAGCCCTGAGAAGGCAGCTAGGGGCTGAGGGCGGAGAGTGGGGGGAGGCTGCAGGGGAACCCCCTCCCCCCACAGCCCCCACGCTCAGCCTTTGCCCATCTCTAGCAAGCTCGGGCTGTGTGGTGGCCAAAACCAGGGGCACTAGAGGGGGCACCTCTGCTTCTCATCCCTAGAATGGAGGCACCCTTTCTACCTGCTCCAGCCCAGGACTTGCCCGCCTTTTCTCTGTGCCCAGGACAGACCTTGGGTGCTGTGTGGGGCCAACGGCCCGAGTGGGCCCTGGGTGTGAGGCTCTGCCCTGTGTCAGGAGTCCGTCGGCTGCCTGAGCGTGCCCTTGACCGCTCCCCTGAATTCGCACAGGCCCCAGCCTGGAGCCCTGCGGTGTATGTGTGGTAACACCATGTCTGTGCCCCTGCTCACCGATGCTGCCACCGTGTCTGGAGCTGAGCGGGAAACGGCTGCGGTAAGGTCCTCGCGCACCCACAGCAGCCCCAGGCCAGCTGGGGAACTGGCTGGAGGGGCGTGGGAAAAATGGAGGTGGCAGTGACGAGGAGGGAGAAGCTAGGAGGTGGGGGGCTGGATGATAACCTGTTTGGCTGCTACCTCAGTTCCCCCAAGGGGGAGGGGGAGGGGTGGCCAGAAGTTGGACGGTAGGGAATGATAGCAAGATGCTGACTGCGCTCCTCCCCATCTGCCCACCTCTGATCCTTTTGCAGGTTATTTTTTTACATGGACTTGGAGACACAGGGTGAGTGAGCGGGTGTGGGTGTTCCCAGGGGCGGTGGGCCGGTCCACTTGGCAGGGCAGAGAGGCCTGTGGCCTCCGTTTCTCTGTCTCCACATCGGTGCCTTTTCTCCCCTCCCTCCTCCAGGCACAGTTGGGCTGACGCCCTCTCCACCATCCGGCTCCCTCACGTCAAGTACATCTGTCCCCATGCGTGAGTGTCACCCTTGCAAGGGAGGGGCTGAGGGTGGGAATCAGCTAGGGGGGTTGATCCTGTGGTCCTAGGTCTGTTCTCTCCTGCCCGCCGCATCCTGGGGCCTGGGCAGGAAATGCCATTTTCAGCCTTTACCCCTGTGGAGCCTCCAGGAATGGGGCCCAGCCCCAGCCCTCAGCCCAAGGCCTCCTAGACCTGAGATCTCCTAGAACCAGGACCCCCTGTTCCCCTTCCCCAAGTACTCACCAGCCAAGCTGGAACCCCGGCAAGCTGAGTGCTGGGCTCTGCTTCTCCATCTCTACTGCTGATGCTTTAACCACAGCTTCCGGCCCCACGTGGTGGCAGGTTGCCTGGCAACACCTTAAACACAGGCCCTGCCTGCTGGGAGGGGCCCCCAGGGGCTGCTCTGCCCCCTCCTGGGATCACTGCTATGGCTTTCTCATCCCTCTGGAGCATGACGGCCCTTCTTGTGGTCTCCCCAGGCCTCGGATCCCCGTGACACTCAACATGAAGATGGTGATGCCCTCCTGGTGAGTTTGGAGACGGGCAGTGGGAGCTGAGGGGGTTGTAGGGGGCTGGCTGGGGTCTTCCTTCAGCTGCAGTGCCTCTACTTTCCCAGGTTTGACCTGATGGGGCTGAGTCCAGATGCCCCTGAGGATGAGGCTGGTATCAAGAAGGCAGCAGAGAACAGTAAGGCCCCAGCCCCTCAGCATGCTGGCTCTGCCCCACCCCCACCCCTCCAGGAAAGCGCTGGGCAGTACCTCTGTCTGGTTCTTTTCCTGGGGGCCCCTCCAGCGCTTTCCTCACCCAGTCATGCCCCTCCCCCCAGTAAAGGCCTTGATTGAGCACGAGATGAAGAATGGGATCCCTGCCAATCGGATCGTCCTGGGAGGCTTTTCACAGGTGAGGGGAGAGGGAGGGTGGTGGGTACTGGGTAGGTGAGTTGTGCCCTCATGACTTACTGTCTCCTTCCTTCAGGGTGGGGCCCTGTCCCTCTACACAGCCCTCACCTGCCCGCATCCTCTGGCTGGCATTGTGGCGCTGAGCTGTTGGCTGCCTCTGCACCGGGCCTTCCCCCAGGTGAGTGTCTCCATGACCCCTCTCCTGCCCTTGGCGTCTCCTGCTGGCATGGGGATTGTGCTGAAGCCCTGTCTGGCCCACAGGCAGCCAATGGCAGTGCCAAGGACCTGGCTATCCTTCAGTGCCATGGGGAGCTGGACCCCATGGTTCCTGTACGGTTTGGGGCCCTGACAGCTGAGAAGCTCCGGTCCGTTGTCACACCTGCCAGGGTCCAGTTCAAGACTTACCCGGGTGTCATGCACGGCTCCTGTCCTCAGGTCAGTGGTGAAGGGCCGCTTCCTGTTCTACCCTCCTCCCTCCCTCCCTCCAACCGGAGCCTCTGACAGCCCCTCCCTCCAGGAGATGGCGGCCGTGAAGGAGTTTCTGGAGAAGCTGCTGCCTCCTGTCTAACCAGAGTGGCTGGCCCCCAGCTCACAGGGGACCCAGCACGTGTGGCACCATCTTGGATCTGAGCCGGTCGGCCCCGGTCCCCACCCTCCCTGACCCATCCCCTTCCCACGGGCCTCTGAGGCAGGCAGGCCCAGGTCTAGCCAGGCCTTCCTTCCTGGCTTTAGCCACCTGGCTGTCGGCAGCAGGGGTTGGGCTGCTTTCTCCCATTTTCCTGAAGGTGGGCCCCTGGCAGCAGTATTGGAGGGGCTGTAGGCAGCGGGAGAAGGGGCCCAGCCGCTGACCCACTCACTCAGGACCTCACTCACTAGCCCCGCTTTGGGCCCCCTCCTGTGACCTCAGGGTTTGGCCCAAGGGGCCCTCCCAGACCCCATCTACCCCCTCCCAACTGAGTTTGCCCAGATAATCGTGCGTCTCTCCTGCCTCCACTCCAGCTGCTTCTCAGTCATGAATGTGTCCATGACCCAAGCCCCTGCTGCTGTGGGCTACTGGCCCAGGCAGCAATGATGGTGAGGGGCAGGGTCCTTGGAGGGGCCTTTCTCAGCCCTTTCTGGTTTGGGGGCTGGGCCCTGCCTCCCCATTACCTTCCTCCCCTGCAGGCCTGGAGCCTGCAGGGCTGGACTGAGGCTCAAGGTCTCCCCAGCTGTGTCACCCCATGTTGTCCCCACTCTAGGGCCAGGGGAGGTAGGGAGAAGTTGTGTCTCGTCTTCTGTCTCCATGTGGTTTCAGGTGTTTTTCTTGTTGTCTCCTGGATTCCGATAAAATTAAAGAAATTGCTTCAACTCTCAGGCCTGTCTGATTGTATTCAAGTGGGAGGGAGAGACCATGTGTGAGAAAATGCTCCAGTGTAAGAAAACCTTTTATTTTAAATACTTTGGAGAGTGCCTTCACAGCAGTATAAATTAGTGCCTGGGAGTAGGGTGCTAGGCTCAGGACCCTGCTCCCCCCCCCCCCCCCCCCCCCTTTGCTCTTGGTGATCCTTATGGGTTCCCAGCCCCTGGGGAAGAGAAAAGTTAGAGACCACTGACTCCTCATCTTCAGAGCCCTTGGCCTCATGCCTGTGGGCTGGGCTGGGCGGGCCTGGCTGGGGTCTGAGGTAGGGCGGGCTCGAGGCCCCTGTGTCCTGCCAGATGCTGGAGAGCAGCAGTTGTCTGTTTTCTGTCTGCGGTAGGAGGGTCTCAGGCCTGTGTGCCAAAGCCGGAAGGATTCTGCTTCTGCCAGCGCCATAGATCTTCACCTGTGATAGGGCGAGGTGTGTGGTCAGGGTCCACATTGGAATGCAGGGCCCCCACCACCTCGGGTAGCCCAGTGTAGGCACACGCAGACCCAGTCAGCCCCTCCTAGCCCCTAGCTCTCTCCCACAGGTTGGGCTAGCACTCACACATCCTGTCTAGCCCTAAGGCTGCTGTCCAGCCCAGCTCCTGGAGCGCCAGGCTTGGGTTGGCGTAACAGGCAGCCACGTCACCTTCCCGCCGTGCCACCACCTTGTACGGGATCTGCAAGAGAGGGGACAGTTGTAGCCCTGGCCTCACCCAGCCAGCTGCTGACCTCAAGAAATGGAGGTGCAGGGCTGTAGGGCAGGGTCTCTCGGAGGCACATAGCGCTAAAGCAGGTGAGTAGGTGCAGTGCCCCTCAGGTAGGCTAGTGGGAGGGGCCAGGTCTGCTGAGAGTCGGGTGGGACGGGGCAGGGTAGGTCTACCTTCCTCCCGGAGGCCTTCTCCATGGCCTGGACCATCTGTAGCACTGAGTAGCCTGTGCCCGTTCCCAGGTTGTAGATCTGCCCAGGAGAGAATAGGTATGTGGAGGGGGCGGGACTACCACCGCTCTTGTCCCCATTTGCCCAGGACTCCACCTCTCCCCTCCCCACATCCTCTTTCTCCCTACCCGGCAGCCACACTGATCCTTCAGTTTCCTCAGGGCTGCGATGTGGCCCTTGGCCAGGTCCACTACGTGGATATAGTCCCGGACGCCTGCAGAGGAGGTGGTCGGGTGGGAGGGTTCAGTACAGTCTTTCCCACTTCAGTCTCCCTCCTGGCTCCCACTCCTGAATCCTCCTGATCCTGGGCTCACCTGTGCCATCCTCTGTGTCATAGTCGTTGCCAAAGACATTCAGTGCCTCCCGTCGCCCAATGGCCACCTGGGGTGGAGGTCAGGTCAGCTCTTCCCTCAACACCAGCTGTACCCCTCACCACTAGGGGTTGAGGAAATGCTCCCTCCCCTCCCTTACCTGGGAGACATAGGGCATGAGGTTGTTGGGGATGCCCTGGGGATCTTCACCAATGCAGCCCGAGGCGTGGGCGCCTGTGGGGTTGAAATATCGCAGCAGCACTGCATTCCAGGTCTGCGGGACACAGGTCAGATGGGGGGCGGTGAGGGTACAGCCAGGGGTGGGCAAACTTTTTGACTCGAGGGCCACAATGGGTTCTTAAACTGGACCGGAGGGCCGGAACAAAAGCATGGATGGAGTGTTTGTGTGAACTAATATAAATTCAAAGTAAACATCATTACATAAAAGGGTATGGTCTTTTTTTCTTTTTAGTTTTATTCATTTCAAACGGGCCGGATCCGGCCCACGGGCCGTAGTTTGCCCACGGCTGGTATAGGCTGTCCCAGCTCAGTGCAGAGACCTTTACCTCTGATGTCCCCCTGTGCCTATTCCCTGTCCCTGGCAAGGAGCAGGGGGATCGACCCTTCCCAGGTGCTGTGACCTTGCGCAGTCACTGCGGCTTCCTGAGCTCTAGCGTCCTTCTTGGTGGGGGTTGCTTAGAATCCCATCTGTAGGCTCACAGTAGGCTCATGGGGGCAGAGCCGGGGGGGGGAGGGGGGTAGGGTCAAGGGGATCCCTCACCTTGTCTGCCTGGCACAGGTCCCGGATCATTTCCTCGATGAAGAACTTGGACTTGCCATAGGGGTTAGTACAGCCACCGGTGGGGTGGGCCTCGTCCAGGGGCAGGTACTGGGGGTTCCCATACACGGTAGCCGAGCTGCTGAATACCAGGTTCTTCACCCCGTGCGCGCTCATAATCTGGCCGTGGGGGGCGGTATCAGTTACTCCCAGCCCCCTTACTCCTCCACAGGTGGGTGGGGCTGAGGTGTGGGCGCTCCCACGTACAGATGGGGAGACAGAGGCGGAGAGGTAAAGACATGTGTCCAAGATGGTACAGCTTTGGGCCCTGCCTGACTCTACCCCCTTACCCACTGTTTGGCACTGCCCACCAGGCTAGGGGCCCTCCCAGTCTGTCCTTGCCCCACGTCTCACCTCCAAAAGTTGGATGGTTCCTGTCAAGTTAACTCTGTAATAGTCCAGAGGCTTCTGCACTGACTCGCCCACGGCCTTGAGCCCCGCAAAGTGGATGACCGCCGTAAAGCTGTGCTGCGGGGACAAGCAGGGTCAGCGCTTGCTTTAAAGGGCCCGGCCCTCGGCAGTGCCCCCTGCCTACCTTCCAAGCCCCCCACCTTCTTGAAGAGACGCTCCAGGGCTGCCTGGTCCAAGATGTCCATCTCCTCAAACTCCAAAGAGCGGCCTGTCAGCTCCTGAACCCGCCGCAGGCTCTCGGGCATGGACCCCGCTCCTGGTTGGGCACACAGAGGCCATCAAAATCAGAGATGGGGTCCTGGAGACTAGCCAGACACACACCCCTTGGAGGTGGTACCCAGGGTTCTCCTTCCGTCCCCTCCAGAAGCCCAGCCCCGCCCCACACTCACCGCGGATGGCATTATGGAAGTTGTCGATGACCACGGGTGAGTAGCCCGCCTCCAGCAGCTCCAGCACCGTGTGGCTGCCGATGTAGCCAGCCCCACCGGTTACCAGCACCTTTTCTGCCATTGCACCTGGACCAGAACACAGAGCCTCAGAGGTGGCTGAGGCTGGGCACTCAGCTCCTTCCGACTGGAGCCTGGAGCCTGGCCTCAGAGGGGAGCGGTAGTGTGTCCTAGTTAATAGGGTGGCTCTGGAGTCAGCCCTGGTCCAAGTCTGGATACCATCATGTTCTGGCCTTAGGCCTTGGAGATCACTTATGTGCGATCTGGCTCTGGGCCCTCGCTGTACTCAGCCCCCCTGACTTACTCCCTCCGTGGTCGGCTGGGAGGAGGCAGGAAATTACCAGGTGGTTTCAGGGTGGGGTCCTCTGCCAGGCAGGCTGAGCCCAGCTCTGGGGCTGCAGCACCGCTGTCCTGGCGGGGGCCCCGCCCCACCCCAGGCCGGACAGATCACCCGGGTTTGGAGCTAAGGATCCCGCCCAACTGTAGTCCTCACTGAGCTGGCCGGTGAAGACGTGGCCTTGGCATCCATTCCACTGCAAGGTGTGCACCCCGCCCTGAGCAAACTCAGCGCAGGGGGGATGGAGGGAGAAGGAAGCTCCAGACACTGAGGCCTTTCATGGGGGAGGCCCGGCCCGCAGCCGCCTCCTGCCAGGCTGCCTCCAGTGCCTCCTGGGCTCGTCCAGCTCCAACCAACTTGGCTGAGCGGCCTCGCTGTTCCGGGCGCATTTTTGCATTATTTTTCTGAGTTCCCCCAGCATCCTGAGGAGGCAGATATTATCACTGGCGCTTCACAGACAGGGATAGTAAAGTCAGGGAGATGAAGTAATTTGCCTGCGGTCACAGCTTGTGGTAGCTGAGCTAGAATCCGGATCTCCGGGCTCTCACACCAGCCCCTCGCCCAAGCATTTAGTCTTTTACCCACTGCTTCCCGCTGGACTCTGCCCCGGATGCCGAACCTCCCCCTCCCCGCCCTCACTCCGCCGAGGTCCGCGCACTGTGCAGAGCCCCAGAAAGTGGCAGCGGAGGGTGCCCTGGGAGGCAGAAAGGTTGGTGAAGCCGTCAGCCCGTGCCGGCCGGCGGGGCGACCCAGCTCAGCTGTCGCGTCCTTGTCTCCCCAGCCCGCATCCGGGTGGGAGGGGCGCTGGGCCCCCGGCAGGAATTGGGTCCCGGGTAGGAGCCGGCCGCGCCAGGAGCCCCCAGGCTGGGAATGAATGACCCCGGGCCACCCCAGCCACGGCAGCGGGAGCTGGGCGCCACGGGGGCGAGCCCTGGTGGCACAGCCCGGCCCCCGAAACTCCCCCGCTCCCCGCGGACCACCAGCCCCTCGCAAACCTGCCTAGGACCGCGCGTCCCACGCTGCCTCCAGCGGTGCCACCTCCCACACCTCGGTCCCTTTAAGGGCCCACAGCCCACCTAGCCCCGCCTCCTTCTCCCCGCCCTCCGCGAACGTGTCAATCGGAAAACCAAACTACGGGGCGCCGGGAGGACCAAGGAGCAGCGGTTGAAGGCGCCTGCGCGGCGCGCTCCTACGGAGGCCAGCGGTGGGCGGCGCAGCTGGTGCCGGGCGGCCGGCGGAGGGGAGGTGCGATCGGACCCGGGGCCCGGGAGCCGAGCGGCGGAGGTCCGCCCGTGGTGGGTGCCCGGGTCCCGCGCCAGGCGCGAGCGCTCGTCCCGACCTGGGAGCAGGCGAGGGCAGCGCGCCGGGAGATGGGCTTGTCGGGGCGCCTGGCCGATGAACCGCGGCGGGAACCCGTCTCCTGGCTCCTCCGCAGGTGCCCCAGCCCTTTTGTGTCTGCCGAGCCCTTTCTTCGGTTGTGTGGAGACACAGCCGCTAGAACAAAGGCAAGAAGGGGCGGCGCTGGTCGAAGGGAAGTCTAGTTGGAAAACCCACCCACTAACCTGGAGGGACCCTGAAACCGAAGGAGGGCTACGCGCCCACTGCGCTCCACCTTCACACAAACTGTAGGCCCCCAGCTGCTGGGAATGGTTCGTCGGCACCTGCCTCCCAGTGCGTTAAAGAATGGTTGTTTCTGTTTAAGATAAAGGTAGGGCTAGGGATGATGTGCATAAAGGCATGGCATACTGAGTGATGGAACCCGAGCAAAGAAATAAATGCACAAGTGTTTCCCCAAACCTGGAAAGCTCTGGCCTGCCAAGGACGGCGACCGGCAGAGCCTGAGGCACAAGGAACTAAGGGACCCAGGCTTGCTCTAGCCCAGACCCCGAGGAGCGCACGGCCACTGCTGCCTGGGGGCGCTTGTGCAACAGCCCCGGTCAGAGCCAAGAGTAAGCCCCAAGCCACCAATTCCCAGTCGCTGCTTTTGGGGCTCAGGTGGAGAAACGGAGAAAAATCCAAAGATTAGTCTGCATTTCCCCCTCAGTGCGAATAAAGATGTTTTATTCCTCTGCTCTCATATACACACATCCGCAGAGCACTGGAATGGTTCCATGTCATTAAACCTTTAATTACACAGCTGTTTTCAAAAACCATGTTCAGAGTGGAGATTTTTTCAGAGGTGCTAAGTTGGCAGGTGGCCAATGCAGAAGCTCAGCCCTCATCCCTTCAGCAAATGCCCTCTGCCAGCTCAGGGAAAACCGTCCATGCCTTTTGCCCTACAAAGTCAGAGAGCAACGGCACCAAGGCCATGGCAGGGCTGCGCTGTGTAGCCACCTGGCAGATGTCACCCAGAGGTAAGGCTTGGGGATCAACCCAAGCCAGGGACCTGGGTTCCCAAGTGTCCTCAACTCCTGGGTGCATGGTGAAGGGAGGCCGCTCAGTCATACTTAGGTGTCCTGGTGGTGAGGTGCCTGTTCCTGTTCCTGTCACTCCCATTTCCGTGTGTCCATCAGTGAATCATCAGACGTGCCCCTATTCCCACAGTCCCCAGAGCTTCAGGTGGGCAAGGGGCTCACAGTTTACAAGTAGCCTGAGCCACTTTGGAGCTGGTTTTTCTGTTAAGGGCTTGACAGATAAAGGTCCCAGCTTCCAGGAGCTTCTGGAAGTTCACGCCCTTTGAGAAACAAGTTGGAAGATGCAGTAAGTCATGACATGCCCTCAGTACCCAGGGAAACATCACATTGGACATACAACTGTGATACTGAAAAACTAAAGGTGGCCCTGGCAGGTGTGGCTCCATTGGTTGGAGCATCCTTCCGTACACCAAGAGGTGGTGGGTTTCATTCCCAGTCAGGGCGCATGCCCGGGTTGCAGGTTCAATCCCCCATTGGGGCGCGTGTGGGAGGCAACCGATCAATGTTTCTCTCTCTCTCTCTCTCTCTCTTCCTCTCTAAAAAAATTTTTTTAAATGAAACGAAAAAGTAAAGGTGAAGACAGACAGGCTCTTGTTCCTCTGATGATAGACACCAGCTAGCTGCCTGTGAGGTCATGTCCTTCTGGCATCGGCCCCCCCTCTGACTCCCCTTGTACAGGATGCCTCAATCTGTGTCATGCCACCACCAGAATAGGAATCTGTCGGTCTTGTTCAGTACTCCATCTCCAGGGCCTAGCACAGGGCCTGGCCCACAGTGGTCAAAAAGTACATATTCAAGCAATGAACTGTGAGGCAGAGAGAGTAAAAACACCTACTGAAAGGGCCACTCCAGAAAACCTGTTCATAGCAATAGCTCCTATTTACTGATGTGTACTATGTGCTCAGTTCTGGGCTAAGCATTCTACGTTTTCTTAGTTCATCTTCATAACGGCCCTACAAGATAGGTGCTATTATTATTCCCATTTCGTAGGCCCAGAGAGGTGAAGTCATTTGTCAGGTCACACAGCTTGTGAGTGGAAGGACAAGGTTTTAAACCCAGGCCCATCTGATCCCAAAGAACAGCTGCTGTGCTTCCGGTCCACATTGGCTGCCCTTACTGACTCTGACAGAGCCCTGGGGGCTAATTCCACTGCCTCATTCTACAGAGAACAAAACAAAGGTCTAGAGACAACTGACTCATTTCAGGTCCCACACCTGACCCTTTTGGGGGGGCTCTTTCCTTATACCCTGGTGCCTCCTTAAACCAAACTGTCAAACTCACACTGAGAGCCTGGCCTTCTCCAGGCCTGGATCCCCCACACTCTGCTATCTCAAAAGTACACAATAATCCCCTGGCACCTTTCCCCTCTTAACTCCTCCTCCTTCCCTCTTCCACTGACCCCCAAAAAACTACTAAACAAGCCCATCAGCTCCTGTCCCCTGGTTAGTTCAGGGCTATGGCCACAGGGGCAGACAAGCTTACCGTGTGAATGCCCAAGCCCTCCAGCATGTAGACCAGGTCCTCAGTGGCCAAGTTTCCCGATGCCCCCTGTGCATAGGGACAGCCTCCAAGTCCTGCCACAGAAGCGTCCACGACACTCACTCCCATCTGGAGACGAAAGGATGGTGACAAGGCTGTCACTGTGGGGGCCAAAGCCGACAAAGCGGGTCCTTCTAAACCTCCCAACTGTCTGCTGCCTGAAATTCCACTGCAGGTTATTCTTTCCTTTGGTTTATGATTCTGTTAAAGTGGAAATCCCACTGAAAGAGGGTGTTCCTCTTTTTAGCCCCGGGCCAGTGTGAGGCTTTTTGGTGTACACTGTTTCCTCTGCCAGGAACATCCCCACTCAGTTCCTTCAATGGTTTCAAGGTTCCCTCTTACCCTTAAGGGCTCAGCCTACAAGTCACTTCCTCAGAGAGGCCCTTCCTGATCACGGACCTCAAGTCACCGCCTCCCACTGAAGGGATTCCAGATCCCTGCCGTTTACTGTGATTCATTTATGCGCCCTCCCTCACAAGGCTGCTCTCTAACCCCAGGGACCAGGCCATTTCCCCAGGTCAGTCATCTCCTACTCCCTTAGATGACTGTTCCCTTTCTCCTCCTTAAACTCCTAACAGACCTTAACAACCTTGACAACCACAACTCTGAGAAAATAGACCCAGAAAGTAATAGAATCACCTGAGACATGAGCCTCTCCTAAAGACAGCAGGGTGGAATGAGACTAATGCTTCAGCAAGGTAGCCTGTGGTCAGACACTGAGAACGTTCCTTCTAATGGGCAGCCAGGCCATGGACTCCTCATACAGGACCAGCCCACAAGAAGCCTCAAGGGAAACCCAACCTGAAGTTCCAGTCCAATCTCTGGAAAGCAGCATTAAGGCTCTCCCTCTGACCTCTGCCTACCTCCCTACTGCCTGGCTCCTTGCCTGCTGCTCCCACAGAGGTGCTCGCACACTCAAACCCGCATGTCATCCAGGACCAGGGCCCAGCAGTCCTCCCCGAACCCTCCCTCAGTCTCTCAATGCAGTGCTGCCCAGCCACCTCTGCTCCCTGTTCAACTGCTGAACTTTGTCAGGTCCTTCAAGCCTCACTTAGGCCTCTTCTGGCAAATCCTCTCTGACCTCCCCGCTGGGGTGGGGACCTTCCTCAGCCTGTGCTTCCTTCGAGCATTTGTCATAATGCATGAGGATTATTCCCTAACTCCTGCACTGTCGCCCCTAACACACAGACATAAGAACTTTTGGGGCAGGGTCACATGTCTATGTCCATCATAGTGAGCCCAGGGCCTGTCACACAGGTACCAGCATTCAGCACAGATGAAACACAGCTGTCCTGCCGCCACATCTTTTGGGAGAATGGACACATGCCTTTCTCCTGGGACATGCCTGTATTACCTGCAGGGCCATCAAGGTGTTGGCCAGGGCCTGGCCATAGGTGTCATGACAATGGACAGCCAGGGCAGCCACGGGCACCTCGTGCATGACAGCAGACAGCATATCCTTCATGATCCCAGGGGTGCCCACGCCGATGGTGTCCCCCAAGGAGATCTCATAGCAGCCCATGGAGTACATCTTCTTGCTGACCTGGGAAAACAAACAGGCACTTGGAGGACATTAGATTCCCCAGCCAAGGATCCAAGGCTCCGAAACAGGGGTCGGCCTGTCCAGAACACCTCCGTGTCTGAGCACTAAACCAACCGGGTCACAGGCTCCTTACAACTTTGAGTGGAATGATATTCCTCATTCTTCTCGTCAGGACACCGCACGTCAGGAGCAGGCTCTGGGCTCCAACCCCTATGCTTTCCTCCCACCCGGGTCTCAAACTCCAGTCCTTCCCTTACCGCCTTCAAACACTGTGGCAGACTCAGCCACTGGAAGCAGTAAAACTGACCCCTTTCTTGTAGTCTTATCCTTGGTGGGAAGGTCTGTGAAATCAGGCGTCAGAGGTGCCCGCTTTATATTTTTGACAGAAGTACGTCACTATTTAAATGTTTGGAAGCCCGTTTACAAAGCCCTAAAATCACTGCAAAACCAGAGCAGCGTAAGCCCGGCCCAAGGAGATGCTTCCCTACGCGGTGCTGCTGAGAAGGTGGAGGAAGGGTGTGGTCTGCGGCATAAAGGAAATGGTGAGGAGTGACAGCAGCCCGCAGCCTGCGGGGGGGGGGGGGGGGGGGGGGGGGGGGGGGGGGGGGGGTAGGGGGCAGGCGGGCAGTAGAAGGAAGGAGCCGCTCTGGAGTGAGACGACGCGGGATTAAAATCGCAGCTCTGCTGCTCACTAGCTGTGGGATCTTGGCCAGGGACTAACTTTCCGGAGCTTCAATTTCTGCTTCTGAAAACAGTGGCAAGCCTTTGAAGGGCTATGGTGGCAACAGGAGGCTGAGTCGTGGAGCACAGCAGTCACTCTCAATCCCAGATGCCACACCTACCATTCCTCATTTTTGGATGCTACCTGGTTTTGGGGAAGAGCAAGTGGGCTTTGGAGGTAAACGAGATGGGGGTGGAGACCCGGTGGCACCATTGGCAACCTGCATGGCAAGTTAGTTAGTCTCAACAATAATACCGAATTTGCAGGGTGGTTTTGAGGACTAAATACCATGAGCTCTTGTGTCCCTCACGCTCAAACTCAGTTTCCACACTGTGTCCTCAGGGCTGACTTGGTTGCTGCTCAGAGGATGTGAAGTGGCCTCTCTGACCAAGACAAGGCACAGCAAAAACCCTGGGGCAGGAGTTGCGGGGGGCGGGGGGTCCTCTCCAAAAAGGATTATCACCTCAATTATTGCCTGTCCACTAACCAGACTGGAAACTCAATTGGAGGCATTTTACTCTGCGGGGAGGGCAGGGGTGTTAACAAGGAATCAGTGACCCATCAAGAAAGGGTGGTGAGGGGAACCTATGCACTCAGGGGCAGGCAAGGAAGCCAACCTCACAACCCCCCACCCTGACACTCACACACACCTCAGCTACTTTGGCCGGGGAGATCTTCCCTTCATAGGGGCATCCAAGCACACAGGAGACGTATCTGTGGGAAGACAGGGGAATGGTGTCAATGCCCCTGGCTTCTTTGGTCAGCAGGGCTGAGGCAGGGGGGCTGTCTGACACACATTCCCGGTTAGTTGGAAATCAAAACCTGAACCTGGGCAGGAGGCCAAGTGCCTGGAAAGGCTAATTCAAGGATGTGGAGCCAGAATGAAGGTTGTGCCGCTTAGTGCCGGAGGGGGCAGTGGAGAGCCACTGCAGGGAAGGGAGGGACTAATAGGCCCGCAGTTCAGGAAGCAGGGGTGGCAGAGGTTCTGGAGAGGCAGCCAGAGACCAGCAGGAAGGAGGAGCTGGAGAGGGCATTATGAGCAGGCACCTGAGCCGTACAGAGGTGAGGTAAAGCAGAGCATGGGCCAGAGGAGCTGGGGCCCATACGCACCGGAGGGGACCAGCGACCCATGAAACCAAAGGCAGGGATGGAGCTGGCTAGCCTGCTCTGGTGAGCTGCCAGACAATTCATTCACTCAGTTATTCAACTGATATTTACCGAGTTGCCCACTATGGGCCAGGCGCTAGGGAAGCTCAGTGAGCAAGACTGACAAGGACCCCACCCTCACAGTGCTTATTTCAAATCCGGGAGATAGCTGATGAAAGGACAATCAATGAGATAATCTCAGAAAGCGATGTGCTACGAAGGAAAGGACCGGGAATGCGCCAGGAGCAAACAGAAGAGGCCGACAGTGGCTGGGTGCCTCAGGAAGACCTCTGGGAAGACAGGACACTGCAGCTGGGAGACAGGGACGGCCACAGGAAGAGCATTCCCGGCAGAGAGGGCCCAGTGCAGACGCCCTGAGTTGGCAGAGCAGGTGTGTTCAAGACGCCGAACAAAGGAACAGCCGAGGCACGGAGAGCAAGAGGCAAAGAAGTAAGACATGAGTTGGAGAGTTGGGCATGGGCTTCATTACAGGGTCCTGTTAACGACGGTAAGAAGTTTGGGTCTTGGATGGAGGTGGCTCCTATTTCCACCCACACCATTGGGCCAGGGGCTCCACTAAAACCTTTTAGAGTCTACAAAACTATTCTGCATATTCAGAGGCATAACAAATATTTCCTGGTTAAATAACTTCAGCCTCAAAGATCTCAGTATATTTTTCTTTTCTGTTTTTTAAAATTCTCATCAGAGGATACGTTTTTTTACTGATTGGGGGGAGACAGAAGAAAACATTTATGTGACAGAGAAACATTGATCAGTTGCCTCCCCTACACACCCTGATCTGGGATCGAACCCACAACCTTGGTATGTGGCCTGACCGGAAATCGAACCCACAATCTTTTGGTGTAGGGGATGACACTTCAAACAACTGGGCCATTTGGCCAGGGCTCAGTCTAGTTTTCCATTTAAATTCTCCCCCTTATTTTCCAATCGTTGCTGAGCAGGGAAAAGAGATACTGACAAAAGAGCACAGGCTTGGGTGCAGGCAGACCTGACAAGCCCCTGCTTCCCCATCCATCCATCCATCTGCCCATTGGTTCCTGAGCACCTACTGTGTGCTGGGCCTTGAGTTGGGAGAGGGGCACACCTGGACAGAGAGAAATGTGGGTTCAGTCTAGCGGGGTGGGAGGCAGGAGATGATTTAACAAGTAGCCACGTGTTATGTTAGAGGATGTCTAAGGGACTATGGGCGCCCAGAGGAGGAACACTAACTCCAGCTGAGGGGCAGAGAAAGCTTCTTGGAGAAACTGGCATCCGTGAGGGGCCCTGAAGGGTGAACAGGAGTTAGTCCTGACAATTAGGATACAGGAGGAAGAGAGTGCTGAGACTATGGGAAGTGTGTGTAAAGGTCCAGAGGCAAGGAACAGGTGACAATGAAAAGACGTTTCAGTTGGGCTGGAAAGGAGCAGGGACCAAGGAGGCTGTTTGGGGGCAGAGGCTGGCTCACACAGGGTCTTGTGAGCCAAGCGGAGTTGGGAGTCACTGTAAGGTGTCTAACCAGGAGGTGATGTGGTCAGATGTGCATTTTTTTTTTTTAAATCAAGGGTGTTTTTATTGATTTTTAGAGAGAGGGAGAAGGGGGGGGAAGAGAGATGTGAGAAACACTGATCAGTTACCTCCCATATTCCCCCAACTAGCAATCGAACACACAACCTTTACTGGCGCATGGGACAAAGGTCCAGCCAACTGAGCCACCCGACCACGGCCAGATGTGCACTTCTGAAAGCACTCTGGCTGCGATTGGACAGCTGTGTGACCCTCCGGCAGACTCTTCGTCCTTCCTGAGCCTGTCCTGTCACCTGTAAGTGGGGCCAGTCCCCTCCTTGCCGGCCAGCTGTGAAGTTACATATGGCGATTCCTGGCACTGCTGCTCTTACAGGTGTGGTCTGGAGGCTTAAGGGGCCTAGGGGATCTTTGGGAACGTGTGAGGTGTCGGTGGTGTAGCCAAGAGTAAACTGGCCTCCACAAAACGGGTCTAGTCCTGTCCTACTAGATTTCCTCTGGTGAACTGACCCAAACACCAGGTTTGGAGAAAGCGCTTGCTAGGATTTCTTCTGACCACATCCACTTGGGAAAGGATGTCACGGCGTGGAGCGTAGGCTGTCTGCCCACAGGATGAGTTGCTGTGGGGGAGGGTCACTTGGGCCAGAGTCTGGTACTGGCCAGAATGGCACTGAGGAAAAGACAGGCAGCACCGATGTGGCTGACTCACCCCCGCACAGGGATACCGGCTGCCTGAGCTGCCTTCAAGACTTGGTCAAACCGCTGCAAGCTTTCATCTATGGAGCAGTTGATGTTCTTCCTGGTGAAGAGCTCGGAGGCAGCTCCGAAGATGCTCACTTCCTTCGCTCCAGCAGCCACCTGCCAACAGCCAGGGAACTTCCTTTCAGCATTTTCCTCTTCAAGGAACCCTAGAGTGGCAAGACCCTTGTCTTAACGTGAATTTTATGATATATGAATGTTACGGATTGAACTGTGTCTCCCCAAAAGAGGTATGTTGAAGTCTTAAACCCCAGTACCTCAACATGTGTTCTTATTTGGAAACAGGGTCATTGTAGAAATAATTTATTAAGATGAGGCCATATTGGTTCCTCTCTAATATGACTGGTGTCCTTTTAAGACAGTGGCCATGTGAAGACAGAGAGACACGAGGGGAAGGCCCGTGAAAATGGAGGCAGAGATTGGAGCGATGCATCTACAAGGCAAGGATGTCAATGACTGCTGGCAGTCACCAGAAACTAGAAGAGAGCATGGAACAATCCACCCCAGAGCCCTCAGAAGAAACCAACCCTGCCAACACCTTGACTTCAGACTTCTAGCCTCCAGAGCTGTGAGAGGATACATTTTTGTGATTTTCAGCCACCTAGTTTTTGGTATTTTGTTATGGCAAGCCAGGAGAATTAATACAGTGAATTATCCGATATAATAAAAGCCTAATATGCTAAATGTCCGGTCGTCCATTCAACCAATCAAAGCGTAATATGCTAATGATATGCTAAGGCCTCTCAACTGCTCGCTATGATGTGCACTGACCACCAGGGGACAGACACTCCAACCGGTAGATTAGCTTGCTGCTGGGATCCGGCCCATCAGAACTGAGACAGGCCAGACTTGCCCTGGAGCCCTCCTTGCAGTCCCTCCTCAGCTGGTCAGCCTCACGTGTCGCTCCCTGGCCCTGATCAGTGCACCCGATCAGTGCACCCATGGGGTCCCCTCCCCCGCCCGAGTGCATGAATTTCATGCACTGGGCCTCTAGTACCTCAATAAGAAAGAAACCTTGGCCTTCCCTCAGGGACCAACACTGCCCCTGCCATGACCACTCTGGAAGTCAGTCACTCCTAAAAGAAGCTTTTGCCTCAATTTGGAATCAATATCTCAATGATGTTCTCATCTAAAGTTATAAGAAAGTTGGCAGATTCTAGCAACTACTGATGAAGCTCTACGGAGTGCTTGCTTACTTTTCTCTAAAGAGGAAATGGGTAAGAGCAACAAAACTACCATTGATTAAGCACTTATCTTCCACCAGGCTCTTGCTAGGAAATTCATGTGCATTTTATCTTCTGAAATCTTCACAATGTTACCCTATCATGAAGCCTATTTTATAGGCGGAACCTGAGGCCTGTCAAGACCACAGAACTGGGAGTGGCAAGCCCAGGACTGCCTTGTCTGTCTGACTGTGCTCACCACCCCTGGAGACAGCCCTCAGACAGATGTCCCAGGACAGGGACTGAGGCCCAGGGACAAGGCAGGGACCAGTGCCATCCATCTCATTTCAGGGGCTCCACCAACAAGCTTACCGCTGCCTGAAAGCCTTTGAAATTTGGGGTCAGGACTGGGTAGTTGATGCCAGGAAACTTCTGGATGCCCTTCAAGACTTCGATGTGGTCAGCCATCTGGAACCAAAGGAGACATGGCAGAGTCATCACCAAGGTCAGGCCGAGAGCTCAGGTACACAAAACTGTTTATCACAAGATCTCTGTTCTCCAGGCCCTTGGAGAATGAGTCCTTCCGCAGAGCTGAGTCTCCCCAAGGCCTTGATTATTTGTGTGACTGCTGATGGGCCAGGAGGCCCCTGGGAGTGGGCAATGGCCCCAATTCCTCCACATGGCGAACATGTCAGCTTTACAGAGCAGTGACCGCAGTAACAACACCAGCAGCCATTACTGAGAACACACTCCAAGCCGGGCCTGGGCTCAGCTCCTCTGTGTTAACCCACTCAGCTGGGACAGGACCTTTCTCCCCACGACTGTCTCTGTGAAGCAGGCAGAATCCATGGGCCAGGCCTAGAAATTCTAGCTTTCCAGGGCCAGAAGAGGTCACCTTCAACCTGTAGAGGGGATGGCCTTAGCAAGGTCACCAAGCAATTCGGGGGCAGAGTCCAGACTGAATCCAAGCCTCCTGACTCCCAGGTTACAGCCTCTGAAAGCCAGAGGCCAGGAAATCTATGTTCCTGACTTCTACTTCCTCTTCCAGGGCAACTGCAAACCTTTCCATCCCTCTCATCTGAAAATCTCTCACTGAGGGTGGGGGCTCACCTGAGGAACCCACTTGGGAGACACAAAGCTGGTGGCTTCTATAACGGGGAGTCCTGCTTCAGAAAGCATGTCTATCATCCTGATTTTCACTGAAGTAGGGACGATATTCTGTAATGGAAAGACAAACACTAGAAAAGACAGCTCAGCAAAGTTGGGAAGAAAATGGCCTCAGAAAGCAGTGCCTGTTAGTTCCAAGTTTTTGCTACAGCAAACACTTCACTATCTCAACTTTTAAACACTAATATGAATTCACATGTAATCCTCACCAATAGATAAGGTCCAAAGCGTCTTCAAATTCTACAGATAGCATTTTGGAGTGGAGGCAGCTTATCATCTGAAAGGGCGTTAATACTTACATGGAAACCATATTTTTCTGCCATACAGGCTTTTTCTTAACTGAAAGTTTGTTAATTAATTACTCCATCATAAACAAACTGAGAGCAAGGTACCCTGGCCTGAAAGGGCAGAGATGACTAACCTTCTGGTTCTTACGAGACGGGCCCCCAAAGTATTACATGCTCCTTTTCCATCTCTCAAGTGGCACCGGATCTCATCCTCACATGGTCAGCCTACTGTTTCTCTGCCCCCCGCACCATGTCTAGTTGCTAAGCAGCTTCTATAGGTCCCTCTTTCCAAATCTAATACCATTAGTCCATCATCCCATGTATATTATGGCCTGGTCTCACTCCACCAGTTCATCCCACAGGAATCATCCTAGAACACTTTCTACTGTCTCACTCTACCACTCAAAAGCCTTCCGTGGCTCCCTACTGACTACAGGACCAGGTAAAAAATCCTAAGGAGTTCAGGTCCCTCCATACCCTCCCCACAATTTCTCTTGCACTGCTTTAATGTAATCTATTCCATAGATAATTCTGAGAGCGCTTTATATTCCAGGAATTGTGCTAGGCAGTAGGCGGTACTGCAATGAGCAGACAGACATGATTCTGCCCTCTTGGGACTTATAGTTGTTGTTTCTAGCATATGCTCAACATTAAAACTAGGCTGGTCTACTTAAAAAAAAATCTTTCTTAATGAAAAAATAGTTAATACATGATTGTTTTGAAAACACATGCCAAAAAAAGAAAGAAAACCACACTTAACACCTCCCAGATATGTAACCTTCTGGATCTGTGCAGTGCAATATATTAGATACTAGCCATACACGGTTATATAAATTTAAGTGACATGAAAATAAAAATTCATGCTAGTCACATTTCAAGTGCTCAATAGCCACATGTGTTTGTCTAGTGGCTACCACATGGGGCAGCTCAGGTCTGGAGCATTTCTATCTTACAGGAAGTTCTACTGGACAGCACTACTCCAATTTTCTTCAGGTTGTAAGGAACATCCCCCAGGTTAAATCTTTGCATGTGGCCTTCATGACTTCCTTTGGATAAATCCTCCTCCAAGGAATTGCTGGATCTAAGGCATGCCCTCACCCTCACACTACACTCCCCCAGCACGCATCATCCACCCCACCCACTGGGCCTTGAAATGGACCTGGGCTACCACACCGGTTGCATCACCATCGTTTAGCCGTCACAGGAGCCTGCGTTCTCCCCACCAAGCCCTAGCTTGGGCAGAGTGATGGTGTCTTGCATCGATAGCTCTGTCAGTCCGTCCCTGCTGCACCTACCCTACCACACGAACTCTCAACGCTCAGAAACAGCTTCTGTGGTTGATTTCCAACTTTACCTTTTCATTTTGTAGTCCATCTCGGGGACCAACTTCCACAATTTTCACCCGCTTTGGGAACGTACTCACAGATGAGGTGCTGGCCTTTGGTTTAAAAGAATAAACAAAAAGTAAAACAAGAACAGATTGTCACAGTTCCCCATGGGGTGCGCGCGTGCACACTCACACACACACACACACACACACACACACACGAGGAAGAGGCGATGTGACCACCCCCCCAGTTGGGAAGGAATGAAAGCACTTTGATTTTCCCCACGGTGACTAATGTGGCTTACTGTGCAATGTTAGAGTGGTGTTTTACCATACTTTTTTGGGTAAATTTGTGGAACTCATTGTTTATTTATTATAAAAGATTTTAACTGGCTTTTAGAAAGAGACAAAGACATCGACTTGTTGCTCCAACTCATTCGCCCACTGGTTGATTCCTGTACGTGCCCAGACCTGCCCAGAACCTGCAACCTTGGCTTATCAGAGGCCTCTAACCAACTGAGCCACCCCGCCAGGGCTTGGAACTCATCTACAATAATAAAAGCTTAATATGCTAATTAGACCGGACGTCCTTCCGGACGACCTTCTGGAGGAAGCTGGGGCTGCGAGGGAAGCCTGGTCTGGGGTCTGGAAGCCGAGCAGCAGCCGCGGAAGGAAGGGCTACTGTTGCAGGAATTTCGAGCATCGGGCCTCTAGTATTGTAATACCTGAACAGATGTAAACACCTAACTTACACTGCTCTTGCTCCTGTCTGCCTGTGTGACTAACTGTGGATGTTGCATGATGAAACCAAATAAGCCCATGAAGTGGGGGGACGGAGGGGAACCCCCCAGAGGGGCAAATCTGAAGGAATGGATCCATTTTCAGAATGCTGGCCCCGGAACCAACGTTTCTCGCCGTTTGACTCACCTCTGGTCTGTTCTAGAATTAAGAGCAGAAGGACTATTTATTTCACTTAGAAGCGGGAATAACAAGAGCCAGGCTCCCCGCGCAGGCCCATCTCCAGCTTCCCGCGCCCGGGCACCCCCACCGCCCAGCAGGTGCGCAGTAGGCGAAGCCGGGGCGACCCTGCTGCTCCCTTGGAAGCGGGGCGACCGGCGACACTTCACAAGCCAGAGCTGGAGAGGCCGCGGCGCAATCAGAGGGAGGAAGGTGCCAGGGTCACGCGAAAGCGCCTTGAGCAGGGATTTAGGGCACCGGCAGGTCGCCCCCCTCTGGGCCTCAGCTTCCCTCATGACCCTCAGGGATCTGGGGTACACAGAGGGTCTCAGACTTCAAGATCCACCTGACTCTGGCCTGAGGAGCTCTCTGGCTTCACTTCTCAGAACAGCCGACACGAGCCACGCCCCCGACCCGAGCGTCACGATGCAGAATGGCCGCCGTCCCCGGGCGCGGCACTTACAGCCCTGACGGACGCCAAGCCCACCAGCCGCTGCCGCAGCGACCCCCTCATTGTCGCCATCTTGGCTCAGCTGACCCGGCGGAGCCCGGGGGAGGCCCACGTGACTACACACCTCCAGGTGGGCGTGGTCCCGCCTGAGGGGCGGGCCTCCGAGCGACGCGGTGACGCGTGACGCCCTACGCTGGCCCCGCCCCCAGCCCCTCCGCCTCTAGTCCTCCCGGCCGCTCTTCCGGACCGGTTCCCGGGTGTTTCTAAGCTGCTCCGTGTCATTGCCCGGTGAAGTGAGACCTAGGACTGTAAAGATGAACAAAAATTAGCCAAAGCTTTTGTCTTCATAGGCTCAGAGTCTGGAAGGTGTGGGAAGACATATTAATAATGTCGATGAAAGAATGGTCAGCCTATAGAAAACTCTTATCGTTTGAGCCAAATTTTGAGGACATGCCAGGAAGCAAAATCTCAAATTAAGTAAATGCTCTGAAGAATTGCGGTTTTGGAACTTCATACATTAGAATCAAAGAAGGAGCCGTAAGGAGGGTTATATGAAATCGATTGGTGGTAGATGAAGGCACTAGAGCCCTAGCCGGTTTCGCTCAGTGGATAGAGCGTCAGCCTGCGGATTCCGGTCAAGGGCATGTCCCTTGGTTGCGGGCACATCTCCAGTAGGGGGTGTGCAGGAGGCAGCTGATCGATGTTTCTCATGCTTCTAACTCTCTACTCCTCTCCCTTCCTCTCTGTAAAAAATCTATAGAATATATATTTTTTAAAAAGGCACAAGAAACAAAACAAAAACACTAACAAGAAGAAAGCAGAACAGTAGGAAATTTCTAGGATTGGATTAAAAACAAAACAGAGACACTTCCTTTACTTTGGTGGGTACAGGATAGTTAATTAACATGCACAGTACATAGGGGTGGTATGTGGACAGTAACAATGAGGAGCTTGCTCTGTGGTCTCCTGCTCTGTTGGTCTTGTGCTTTGGTGCCAGAAGTTGTGCCTCTGACATTTCAAAGTTACGTTATGCTAGACACACAAAGACGATCAATATATAGGCTCAACGTACAAACTGACCTTTGTCAAGTAAGCTACAGGCCTATGATGTGACTAACCACCATGACCCACTTTAGTTAGGAATTTTTATGTTCAGACCATCCTGTATGGTTATTTTCGGTCACCAGTTTGTAAGGCCTGCCATGCGCCTCCTCCCTCCCCTAGGTGTCAGGTTTAGTATGTGGCCCTTTTTTTAATATATAATATTTGCATAATTACTACCTTTCACAATAAGATAAAGCATTGCTATTTGCCACACACACTGTTTGAGTTCTTTGCATGTATTAACTTATTCATCACTATCTTCAGAATTCAAATGCTGGTAGTTGACTCTAGAGAGAAACATCCTTTCCTTTCATACCTTGAAGAATAAGTTAGACATCCAGGTAAAGAGGATACAAGAAAAGCTTTCCAGACAGAGAGCAGAGCATATGCAAAGACTCTGAGGCAAAGAATTCTTAGAACAGTGTTTTTCAAAATACATGTTGTGGTCATAATATCAACGTAGTGGATACCAACTTAAAAAAAAAGTTGTGCGTTGTATAAGTACTAAGTACTGCTTTGCAAAACTTTTGTTATTACATATGTCAAATAGGTTGTATTGTAAAATAAATTTCTTACTGCAGACAGTAATTAGAAGTGTTTGAAAACATTGTTTTGGAAACATGAAAATAAGGCCAGAATGATTGGAGAGCAGAGAGGGAGTAGGAAGGGGACTTCCTACTAAAATGAGAGGGATTAGCAGGCACCATACCATAAGGCTTTGGAGATTTATATCAATAACAGCTATCCTGCCCTCGCTGGGTGACTCAGTGGTTGGAGCATCTTCCTGTACACCAAAAGGTTGCAGGTTTGATTCCTGGTCAGGGCATATGCCTAGGTTTCAGGTTCGATTCCACATATAGGAGGCAACAAGTCAATGTTTCTCTCTCAGATGGATGTTTCTCTCCCCCCCTTTCTCTCTAAAATAAATTTTTTAAAAATCCTCAGGTGAGGATTGAAAGAATAATAACAGCTATCCTAATAGCAATGCATTTGAAGGGTTTTAAGTAGGAGATATAATCAAACTTGCATTTTGTAAATAGTCACTATGGCTACTGAGTGAGTAGATCTGCAATGGGTGAGTGCACTAAATGGCATTCTCAGGAGAGGTAGAGAAGGCACTGTCCCTGCCTTCAAGGGGCTCAGATTTTAGCGAGGGAGAGAACAGAAATGATAAGTGTTCTGTATGATTCCGCAGCACTGACAATTTCCTCCATCATAACAGTTAAAGCACTACCCACAGAATTTGCTAACCTGTAGCTTGAAACCCAAAAATACTAGCATGGTATTAAATTAAATGACTTTCAAGACTTGTACACTGAAAACTACAAACTGCTCTCACATCCATGTTTCTCTCTCCCTTCCTCTTTCTAAAAATCAATTTCAAAAGAATGGTACCGGAAGTGAGGAAGAGAAAACCAAAGAAATTACATTTTTTTGTTCTGCATTAAAGAGGCATGACTGGCCCCTTTAAAACACAGAAACATAAAGCTATAAGCAGTCCACATAGAAACTGAGGAAAGAAAACTATAACATGTTTATTGGTAGAAATCATTTGACATTAAAAATTATTTATTTGATTATATTTTAAAAAGCAGCACAGAATCACATCCATTTTCTTCATAGTATCACTGTACAGACTGAATTTCAGAGCCCTGAGTTGGCTTTGGAAACTTCTGAAGCGCTATTAGTCTAGCATGCCCTTCTGTCCCTCCAGGCTCTCCTGCTCTTTCAGGGGGAGCTGGTGACAGACGATGCTAAATAAATAGCATGTGGTTGAGCTTGCCAAACCCTTTAAACCTTCTCCCATAGGCAACAAGGTGAACTGGCTTATTCTTTACCCGAAGTCATTAAGCAAGCCGGTTATCAAACAGAGAATGGAGGAGAGATTCCACTGTAGATAATGTCCAAAGTTCAGGAAGAATGGACTCAGAGAGCTTTAACTGTTTAGTTCCTTCTTCTGCTGATGAGAGAGGTATGCCAGCAAGGTGGCTCAGATCTTTGATCCACTGATAGAGCAGTGCACTCAGTTCCTTTGATTAAGGTATGTAGGAAAAGCCATCTCTGGGTAGAGAAGAGTAGGTTATTTCAATGATGGAACTGCAAGAAGAAAATCAAAACTGAGCAGCAGGCAGTGTTGCTTTCCTCTTGAACTCCAATGATCACTCCACGCCCATCATCTTTATGGTCCAGGCAAACTCAACTGGAAGAGCAGAGAGTGGTAACTGGGGCAGATAAATGAGGAGACCTCCGGGTGGATTTGTGGACCACTTCAGATCTTTTTGGATTCCCAGCATCATTACCTGAAGAAAGCAAAAGGCAATGGGAAAAACATTAATGCATTAATGAGGACAGAATATGGTCTGAACATGGTGGAAAACAACCTAGCTGAGCCCGGGAAGGGAAGGCCATCCAAAACAGTGGTCGCCAACCTTTCGGACGCCACGGACCACCAGTGGTCCACCAGTTGGGTCTAAAAGGGGGATAAATATGGGAGAAACCTGGGGAAGAAGGAAGTAAAGAAGACCTGCCAATTCCTTTTTAAAAAGTTACATCTTTGGATTAAAAACCAAGATGGCAGCATAGGTAAACACCAGAGTTTGCTGCCTCGAACAACCATTTTAAAAATACAACTAAAAGATGAAACGGACATCATCCAGAACCACAGGAAGGCTGGCTGAGTGGAAATTCTACAACTAGAAGGAAAGAGAAAAGCATACCGAGACTCAGAGGAGGTGCAGTGCGGAAGTAAAATACTAAGGTGCAGAGGCGCACGCGGAGCGGGCTGGCAGCAGAGGGCACGGTTGTCTTTTTCAATCAGGAGGGAGTCTCAGGCTCTGAGCTCCAGTTCCGGGCGAGTCTCTGGGGACCCAGACTCATACAGGAGAAGCGGGACTGTCTGGCATCGGTCGGAACTCGAGGGCAGCTTTCTCTCGGAGGGGCTTGCAGCCATTGCCGAGACACTGAGAAGCTGGGCCTCATAGAGCAGCCATAACTGCTAGCCCTGCCCTGTTGATCCCGTGGGACCCGCCCTGCCCAAGCCCTGCAGGGAGGCTTTTGCCTCAGGCAGAGGCTAGATTAGCACCTCCCTAGAGATCCAGGAGCCAGTGTACCCAGAGGTCAGAGTGGGACCATCCAGTTTGCACTCTGGGGAACCATAAAGGACACACTCAGGGGGCAGACTCAGTGAGCACCAAAGCCCCACTGAAGCAAGTCTTGCCCCGAATGGGTGTCTCCAGCACAGAAGTTCTCCCACTGCAGAAACAGCTGATTCTCACAGCCAATTGGCCTGGAGGTCAATTCCTCCCAGTGATACCTACAACAATCAAGGCTTAACTACAACAAGACTGTGCACAAAGACCACAAGGGGGTGCACCAAGAGTGTCCTCCTCAGGTAATTGGGGAGGCTGAACCACTGGGCCCTAGAGGACACTTAGCACAGAAAACCACTTTATCAACACAGGGAAGCATAAAAAATGTGGAGACAAAGAGAAAGGACACAAATGACAGAAATGGAGGAAAGCAAACTACTGGATATAGAGTTCAAAACCACACTTTTAAGGTTTTTCAAGAATTTTCTAGACACTGCCGATAAACTTAATGAGACCTACAAGAAATCTAATGAGACCCTCAAGGTTGTGATAAAGGACCAACTAGAAATTAAGCATACACTGACTGAAATAAAGAATATTATACAGACTCCCAACAGCAGACTAGAGGATCGCAAGAATCAAGTCAACGATTTGAAATACAAAGAAGCAAAAAACACCCAACTGGAAAAGCAA